TAGAAAGTAAATTTGATTTAGCTAAAAAAACATAATTAATAAAAAATCGAGTAAGAAATTTAGTAAAAAATTGCAATAGTAAAATCGTCTCGTTAGAGATTAATAAAAAATATCTAATAGTGAAAAAAAATTAGTAAAAATACTCATCTCTAAATTTGCTTTAGCGTTAATTCCTTTTCCTAATTTAAATTAGTACAAATTTTCACTAATTTTTAGTAAAGTACTACAATTTGATTTATTTAATTTTCTTGTACTAAATTTTTAGTGAAAAATGATTAGTAGAAATTTTCACTAGTTCAAATTAGTTAAATAAATTCTCACCAATTTAAATTTAGGGAGTATTAGAGTCAGTAACTGACTTTTTACTACCAAATTAGTTATTTGTAACTAATTCAAATTTAGAGAAATATAAAAATAAAAAAATAATAAAAAGAAAATAAAAAATAAAAAGAAATAAAAAATATAAAATATAAAATATAAAATATAAAATATAAAATATAAAATATAAAATATAAAATACAAAATACCAAATATTAAATATTAAAATTAAACTAAAAAATTCAAATTATCAATACTGTTGATTTACGTCAGTATAAATATCAATTTTGACTTTGATGGAATTTCAATAAAAAAAAAAAAAGAGAATTTTATATTTGACATGACATTTTGATAGGTACGACCTCCAGGAGAAATTTTTTTTTTCCATAGAGAGAGGTCGATTAGATCTCTTTTTTTTTTGGGAAATATGAAACGTTTCTTGAATTTATTATAAAAAAAAAAAAATCTAAAATATGAATGATAAATTTTTTTTAATCGCATTATAAACATTGTGTCATTGGAATAATTTTCAATTTATCTATCACCTCCTCTCGTTTTCTGAATATTATAATATATCTATGTAAATATAGGGTGATAAATAGCTAATTCTAGGTTGTTATTATTGTATATATATATTTATCTGTCCTTGCTTAAATGGGCGCACAGTTGGCGTAAAAATTTCAATGCTAAACTGTGAACAGAAAGTCACCCAGTTTAAGTAAAGCTTTATTTTTCCATCTGTGCTCATATTTGTATGGACAACATTTTGCCTATTTTGCCCGCCCCCTCTACACGCGACTAGAAATTTATTTCCTTTGAAAAATAAATCCTAGAGATTTAACAGAGAGGGGGTGAGGGGTATAAATCTAATAAATTGTATTAATTGACTTTGTTATATTGAAGAAAGAAAAGTCTTTTTCGCGACAATTGTTATAATTTATGATGACTCGTCAAGGTTCATAATATCCATTTTTGTCCAAGGTCTTTTACTCTCCTTTTAGGAGATTTAAAAGGACGAGTGCGACCTTCAAAGAAAATGTCTTAAATGACAATGTTTCGAAGGAAAAAAAAAAAAAAAAAAAAAAAAATTTCTCTACAAGATGAGGACAAGTCATTGTTTGAAGTATTAGTTTCATTCAAGGTAACTTATCGTTTTATGGATAGTTTTTCAAAAAACCTGTATTTTGCCACTTTTCTTTAGGTACGGTGATAAATTTTTTCGCTCGGAAAGAAAAGACGCAATTTGGACAAACAACTTTCACTGTATTTATTGTAATTTCGCGAGTAAAAAAAAATTTAATTGCCTTCGCTATAAGGGAATAATAAATTTTTTTTTTCTTCCTTTTTTTTGTACAAGATATTGTTATTCTGAGAAAATAATATGCATAGTCAAGCCTGTCAAAACCGAGTAGGCGACACCCTTAACAAACTTGTTCTAAGTGCAAGAGATTTATCAAGATTGATCACGCAATCACGTGCATATACACTTCGTGAAAAGAAGAAGAAGAAGAAAAGGACGAGAAAATGGGAAATAAAAATGAGAAATGAAAATAGAAATGAAAATGAGAAATGAAAATAAAAATAAAAAGTAAAAATCAAAAATAAAAAAGAAAAATAAAAAATAAAAATAGAAAAAAAGAAGAAAATAAAAAAGAAATAAAATAGAAAGAAAAGATTTTCAGATATCAAAAACCGATAATCAATACCTTTTTGAAAATTCAGTAAATCATCATTTGCCATTTATTTTCATATTCGATTTTTGGGCGGTTATCTTTCGGCATCGATTTGTGGAATAGAATATAAAATATATATCTTTGGCGCATTCATTTTGTCAACAGAATGGTAAAAAATGATATTCTTTACTTAGAATAAAAAAAAAATGCTTTTATGACTTTTTGTTTTGGGCGTTGTAGGTTTCCCGCTGGTTTTCAAACTAAACTCAACCGTCAACAACAACGGGGAACGTGTCAAAATAGGAATATCAGGGTCAAAAATGGGGAGAGTCACATTTATTGTTGGAACCCCCTCCCCCCACTCTCCTTTTCCTCTCTTCTTCCCTTTATGGGATGCTGGAGGCAAAATTGTTAACCTTCCTTTACATAAAAGGTTTTTGGACCTTTCCTTAACGATCCTTTTCAGCGGAATGTCGACCTCTACCTGCGGCACACTGTCCGTCAGGATTATCTATATATATATATCGTTCTGTGTGTTTGAACCTATCCGCGTTTTAAGTTATAATTAAATTTTCATTTCGCTTAATAGAAGTAGCCAGAATATGCATTCAGGCAAAAAAATAAAGCAGATTTTAAATCTTCATCAAAGATTTCTTTCCTGATGATTTTTAATTTTTTTTCTTTTTTTCTCTCTTTCTGCCCCTTTTAACAGATTGAAATCTTGTGCCAACATCGAAAATTGTTTCCATTAAAAAATTAGTGATTTATACAGAAGCGAGATTAAACATTTTTTTTTTTTGTTTCCGCGGTTATTTTTAAAAAAGAAAAATTCTCACTATTTTCAATAATATTAATAAAATTGAAAATATTTAAAAAAATTTTAAAATTTAAAAAAATTAAAATTTAAAAAATTTTAAAATTCAAAAAATTTTATTAGTTCATTTTTCGTTAGAAAAAAAAATTGACTATTTTCCGTCATTTATGTATAAGTTATTTTTATTTTTTTTTTTTTTAACTTACTGGAAGTGAAGATTTTAAAGGAGCTTTAATTAGAGAACTTTTGAAACCTTGTTGCATTCTGAGGAGGTGCTTTAGAGAAGAGGGAGAGGGGGGGGGCAAAAAAAAAAGGAAGAAGAAAAAAAAAATAATATTTTGCTTATGAAAGAAATTTAAAACCTCGCGCAGCATAATATTTTCTGTGTCAAAAGGTAAAATCCTTGGAACTTCTTATTTACGAGATTTCCGTTACTTCAAGTCGATTCCCTTTAGAAGTTTTAGAAGCGAGAAGAATGAAATCTCAATTTAAAGCTTGATAGAAAAAGTTTTTGCATCTTGAAAATTTCGAATTTTCTAGATTTCAGAGGTTCTTGTCATTACATATAATGTATTATATATATATATATATATTAGAGCAACAATTTTTATAAGGCTGAACAAAAAAATGTTTATTCAATATTTTTTTATTTGAGAATAACAAATATTTGACAGTAATTATTTATTTTTATCGTTATTCGTATTTTATATTTTTTTTTATATTGTATTTTTTTATATTGTATTTTTTATATTTTATTTTCTATATTTTATTTTTTATATTTTATTTCTTATATTTTATTTTTTATATTTTATTTCTTATATTTTATTTTTTATATTTTATTTTTTTATATTAATTTTATTGATTAATTAAAAATACTGAATATTTATTTTAATTTATAATGAGTAATTAATTTTTAAAAAAATTGTATCCACAGAAAATTAAAAGGCATTAAAATAAGCTGCAACGCTTATTATTTTAATCCAATTTTGCTTATTTTAATCCATTTTTGTATTAATAACAAATTATTATTATTTTAATACCAAAATGGATTAAAATAATAAGCGTTGCAGCTTATTTTAATACCTTATAATTTTCTGTGTTATTTTTTTTTTTTTTGCTATTGTGAAAGATTTTGCAAAGGAACTTTTAATTGTCCCCTTGACAAAAAAAGAGACTTCTCAGGAAACATTAAACTATTATTGTAGCTAATCTAGCAATTGTCTCAGTTATATTTAAACTCGTGAATCATTCTTCATTTGAATATATATTACAATTAAATATAGAACTGACATTAAATCTACGAATTATTAAGCAATATCAATAGTTTCAAATAAAAATATAAAATATAATAAAATAAATAAAAAAAAAAATATATTGTTACAATAAAAATTGAAACATTAAAATAAAAAGTATTATCTAAAATATAAAACATAAATTTACAATTAAAGAATAAATTTATTAAACATATTTGCAACTTTTTCTCGTGACGAGATATTTTCTTTTTTTTTTTGGTCCTAAAAGAATAAAAACGGTTGACTAACTTTTTTTCAATTTAACTTTTATCCTTTTCCCATTACAACTGATTATAAATTCTTTTTTATTCTTTGTCGGGAAGTGAAAAGTTGGAGAATTTTTGACATTATATAACTTAGAAACGTTCACTTTGGAAAAAGAGAGTGAGAGAGAGAGAGAGAAAAAAAAACTTGAGACTCATTCTTAATGAGAAACTTGAGAAACTAAAAAGATGTTTCATTATGCAAAAGAAAATTCTAAAAGAATTATTCCTTTGACTCGATTTGGTTAAAAGAACAAAAAAAAATCGTTATTAGAAAACATTGTTTATTTGACATATCCGATGACATTGTTTTTTTTTTAATCTAAGAAATCTACAGAGAAATAGAGGATGAACAAATAATATACAAAAAAAAAACTTTATTTTGCTTTGTCAGAGAGAGAGAGAGAGGCTAATATTCTTGCGCGGAGAAAAATTAGATTATAAAGAGAAAACTGACCCTTCTAACCCAGATTTTTTGTCGTATAATCCTAGAATTTTTTTTTTTTTTATTATTACAAACAAATAAACATTCAAAGACTTTTGTGTGTCAATTATTCTTTAGAATATATTTTCAAAAATTAAGTTTGATTTACAACTTATAGAAAATTTTTGTAGATGAATTTTTTTTTTTTTTTTGCAGGCAGAAATTGTTTGTTCGAGGTCATCATCCAGTTACGGAAAATCACTGCGGAGTTCAATGGAATAAATTGACGGTATGTGTATGCCTTTTTCACTTTCCAGGGGGTCTTTTCATTTCAGGACATTTTTTCTAAAGAGAGAGAGAGAGAGATAGAGAGAGAGAAAAAAAGGGTAAGGGATTTAGCTTTATACTCACTTTCTCTCGGAAAATTCATTAAAAATAAAAGTGGCACGACGGGGTCTATATAAGCATTACAAGCTAAAATTGGAAGAGACTAAATTAGGGTTGAATATATATACTAAATGTACGTGTGGGTTAAATAAAAAATATCAGGCTTAAATATCAAAGAATGTTGCAAAAGGAATATTTAATTCGAAACGAAAAATGTACTTTTCACTTTTTGTGTTAATAATAATAAAAAAAAAAAAAAAAAAAAAAAACAGCGACAGATAAATCAAAATTCGGAATTTCTGAAAATTTTTATAGAAACTAATTCGAACACGGATTTAACCCTTTGAAGCATACATTTTTCTTTAACAGGAATTTATCTTTGAAGTGCATTATAGGGGGGTTTTAAGGGTCGCTGATTACGAATCCAAAGCCAGATTTAAAAAATTTTCAAAATTCAAAATGGCGGATCCAATATGGCGGACAATTTTTTTTTTTTTTAAATTGATCATATTCGCTCGAAACTGGTTACTCAGGGGTTTTTGGGGTCGCTGATTACGAATCCGATGTCAGTTTTTCAAAATTCAAAATGGCGGATCCAATATCAAAAACACCGTAGTAACAATAAGTTTCAAGCAAATCCGATCAATTTTTCATTTTGTCATCCGCCATTTTGAATTTTGAAAGTCCAACGTCATATTCGTAATCAGCGACCTCAAAAACCCCCGCATAACAAGTTTTAAGCAAATTCGATCAATTCTTCATTTTGTTATCCGCCATATTGGATCCGCCATTTTGAATTTTGATAATCCAACATCATATTCGTCACGAGCGACCCAAAAACCCCCCGAGTAACAAGTTTCAAGCCATTCCTATAAATTTTTCATTTTCTCATCCGCCATATTGGATCCGCCATTTTGAATTTTGAAAATCTAACGTCATATTCGTAATCAGCGCCCCCAAAAACCCACGAGTTACAAGTTTCAAGGGAATCCGATCAATTTTTCATTTTGTCATCCGCCATATTGGATCCGCCATTTTGAATTTTGAAAATCTAATGCCAGATTCGTAATCAGCGACCCCGAAAACTTTATAGTCATTATTGTTAGGTTATTTCCTATTGTTGTTTAGTCACAATTACATTTATTGTAAAAAAAAACGCTATTTTTAAACTTAATTTGTTTATAAAATTTATTTTATAAAAAACACTTTTTTAATGTAGTTATATTGTAATAGATATTCTAAAATACATTTTAAATACATTTTGTTACTGAAATGTGTAAAATAGTGGCTGAATAAAAAAAGTGCAAGAAAAAAGGTGACACTCTGGAGTGTCACTATGCCGCAAAGGATTAATAAAAAATAATTGAAAAAAAACCTTGATTTTTATTATTATTGTTGTATTAATTTATTATTAAACTTTATTAATAAATAATATTAACAAAAAATAATAAAATAAAATAATTTTTGAAAATGTACAAATAAAAATAAATGCGCCTCCAGTATTAAAATTTCAAGTGTCTATAATTGTCTATAAATAATAATAATAATAGGAAATATTTTGTCAGGTGAAAATATAATATAATAAGTAAAAGTTATTATATTCACTTATGTCTTTTTATGTCGCATGATAAGAAAGCGGAATAAATTGTCTATTTTGATTAGAGATGAATTCTTCACTTTCACTCTTGTTTGAGGTCACCACAACAACATTTGATAGTTGATGAAAAGTTTATATATTCGAATTCATTGAAATCATTAATCATAGTTATGATCTCAGTAATAAACTACTAAGTCATTCTACTGTTAAATATCCAATTAAAGCGTTCATTTTAGATCTATAGTTTATAATATATATATATATATATACGAGGAGTATGAATTATTGTTCTATTATGCGAATCGATTTTAATTTTAATTTCAAAAAAAAAAAAATTATCTATTCACAAAATTCTTAATAATAGTAATAAGGCAAAAAAAAAATTATCTGTTCACAAAATTCTTAATAATAGTAATAAGGCAAAAAAAAAGTAATAAGGTGAAAAAAAAAATTATAATTACCTAAATGATTTGTTTTTTTTAATTTTTTATATTGTTTATAAATATTTGAAATTTTATCGATCCTTTGTTATTAATGTCACGGCAATCTAACATTACAATTGAATTATTGTTTTTTAATTTTTAATACTGTTTTTATTAAATTTTTGATAGAAATAAAAGAATTTTTTTTGTAAATGCAATCGCCTTCTTTGCGGGTGTTTCCATTAATTTAATTAAAGGCAAAATTTGCTTTGAAGACAAAACAAAAAAAAAAAAAAAAAACAACCTAACTGGGTTAAATATAAATTTTCTTTGAAAATTAAAAATTCTATACTTATCGTTATATATGAAATATAATTAAAAAGTAAAGAAAATTTAATTATACGAGAGACTTGAATCTTTAGTCATATAAAAACAATCAAATTATAAAAGCAAAGCTATATATCCTAGATCCTAGCATCTTTTTAAGAGTCTTTAAATATTTTTTCTTTTTTTTTCTCTCTCTTTCTCTCTTTTCTCGCTTCAATGAGAAAAGTTATTATTTTCTTAAAATATTGTATATTCTCTTTTTATTTCGCCGCTTATTCCAATAGGTGCGCGGTTTTATTGTATATATCGTTTTACTAAATTGCTTCAACTTTATAATTATAGTTTTCTAATATAATATTTTTATGCGCAATATTTGTTCTTGTAATATAATTAGAAAATAGCTTTGAAAAATTAAACAAGTTTGGAAATTTATATAATGAAAAAACATATGACATATTATTATAATCTTATATGTAATTTTAATGGCTCATTTTATGTTTCGCGAATATTTTTCTTTTTTTATTTACTTTGTTATACACGATAATAAATTCTTCCTGGTTAGTATGGAAAAAAACGTCGATACTTCACTCGTGCGTTACAATATTACGCAAAATCTGTATAGAGAAAAAAAAAGAAAATTAAAAATAACCAAGTTATAAAACGCAAATTTCTAAATTTTATATTTTTCACTTAATTTTCTTTATTTAAAAAATAGTTTTTTTTTAAAATGATAAAATTAAGTGAAAAACGAATGATTTATGATTTTGCAATATAAATATAAGATTACTTTTATATTTGCTAATTTCTCATTAACATTCGATATAAATTTTTTTATTTTTTTTTTTTAATAGAAATTGTATAAAAATATTTTTGCCATCATATTATAAAAGTGATAAGGTTAACGAAACAGCTGTTACTAGGAATGTATAAATTAAAATAAATTACATTAATGCACTGAAGTTTATCTTATATACAGTATAATAGTATATGAACCACACGAATTGTAACACATGAGATAATATACACAGATACATATACCTATATATATATGTATATATATATATATATATATATATATAAACTTATCTTGTGTATACTCTACGTTATACTTCAGTTGGACAAACTTCAGTTACATATGTATATACGAACTTTCTTTGCATGCAGTTTCACGAGTTTAGTTTAGATACTCTAGTTTGCGTGTACATAAATTTCACTTTTTTCCTCAAACACTATTTTAGAAGCTTTTAACATTTTATCTTTATTAGATTAATATTTAAGGTCACATATACTTATTTTTATACTCTAAAAACCTTATTTTTTTTTACGAAATTGGCATAATTTTTTTAATAAAAAAAAAACAATAAACAAAATATATTTTAAATATATATAAATAATAAAAAAAATATTTATAATACAAGAATAATAACAAAAAAATAAAAAAAATTTCTTGAAATAATTCGAGAAAGGAAAATTTAATTTTAAAATTAATACGAAATTTTTTGAAGTTATTGGCTAATTTTTTTTGAATTTAGTTATTATTTCAATCTTTTCTTATTAAGGGCATATTTAAAATGACACATAAAATGATGTCATATACCATTTGTATGTGTCATTAAAAATTCTCAAGTCGTTTAGTTTTTACGATCATATGAAGATATATGGAAGTAAAAAAAAAAAAGAATATATTCTGAAAACTAAATTTATTTGACACGTATTTTTTGTTTTCAAAGTATAAGGAAAAAAGGGTTCTAAAATTATTCATTGCCATATATTTTGCTATTATTTATTTGAAAATAATTAAATAAAAATATAATATATATATTATAATATATCTTCCTATATTACAAAAAGATATCGCCGCCGCCTCCGCCGCCGCTGTTTCAAGAATTCTTGACCTAGGAGGGGGGAGTCCCCCCTCTTCGATTTTGAGGTTATGTTCGTTTCAAGGCTCTGAATTTAGCCGCAAGTCCCCCTCCCTCCTCTCATTTCCCCTCCTCCGTCAAAAATGACCTAAATTTTGAGGTTATGTTCGTTTCAAGACTCTGAATATAGCCGCAAGTCCCCTCCCCTCCCCCGCCAGAAATGACCTAAATTTTGAGGTTATGTTCGTTTGAAGGCTCTGAATATAGCCGCAAGTCCCCCCTCCCTCCTCTCATTTCCCCTCCTCCGCCAAAAATTGACCTAAATTTTGAGGTTATGTTTCCTTTCGTACAAAGTACTATTATGATAAGAAAAAAGAAAGAAAATTATAATAAAAAAGAAAAAAGTAATTAGTTACGCTGTGCTGTCCTCAAAATTAAATAACAATTCTCGCAGGGCAATGACAAATCGCGGAGTATTAAAAAAACCAAGTTCAGGAGTTTTATAATAATTATTTAACCAAGTTTCTGTAAAAATAATTATATCATATTTAGTTATAATAAAAGTGAACAAGATAAATTTTCAATTTTGGTTCTTACCCCCCTGCATTTAAGGGTAAATACAATTTTTATTTTAAGAATAATAAAAAAAATATTATTAATAATAGTAATAATAATAATAAAATTAAACCAAGTCCACTTCTAGGCCTAAAGGCTGAAGCTTAATTAATAAATAAATAATAATGATAATAAAAAATGATTTTAATTTTAAAAAAAGAATTTGAAAAACAAAAGAGAAAAC